CCCCTGACTTTCCCCCCACTGTCTGCTGGACAGGTGCTCTGCTGCAAGTGTAAAGCAGGTCAGTGCCTGCCAACCCGCCACCCCCACCGGCCTGCCACCCCACACATTTTTTTTTTTCATTTTTTTTCCCTGTCTTCCAGACATTTTTGGGTCCCTGACACAGGTCCGGACTGTCCGGGTCCGGTGATGTCCGGGTGTCTGGACATGTCCGGATCACCGAACAGTCAGGACCGGTCCAGACACTGGTCCGGGAAACAGTCCGGATGTGCCCGGTGTCCGGGTCCGCGGTAGCCATGGTCAAATATCACCTGTGGATTCAGATTTCAAAATGGCTGCAATTCCAGAAACATAAAGGGGGATGAAAAAGAAAAACAAACCGGTGAGCGAAGCAGGAGGAGAAGTGAAGATATGAATGCATGTGCACAAGGGCATAGATACAAGTGAGCAATTGAGTGAAGAGATACAGCTGGGTGTTATGAGTGAATGGTGTCATCCTTGTGAAGGGCGCACATGCAATTGGGTGAAAGATAGAGGAGGAGAAGCCAGCCAAGAAATGGAATCACCTGCAAAACAAGAAGCATGAGTGGCGTTATCATCATTGCGAGGCTTTCTTAAATGCAGCTGAACGAATGCCAGAGCAAATAATCGACTAGAGAGTCGAGACCAATTGGGGGAAAAAAAAAAAAGACGGAACACAGAGAGAGTCCGATGGAGAACGAGCGGTGCTGACCAAGAAACAATAAAAGATTTTGGGACATGAAACGAATACGCCAAAGCGGGAAAGCAGATCCTACACGAAGGCAGGAGAGGTAAGGCAAGTTGAAGGAAGGAAGATGAAGCCGAGGAGAGGATGAACCAAGGGTAGGAGGGTAAGCTTACCGCACCACTTGCCAAACACCAACATTCTGAATGTAAGAGGACAGGGGTCTCGTCCAGGAACAAACTGAAAACGTTGGCGTTTGTTTGGCGAGGGGTACAGAGAGCCCCCGAAAACGAGGGTGCCGCAGATAAGGGGAAGAGAAAGGTGAAGAGAAGTACGGAAAACAAAAATGTCCTTCGGGACATCCCTTAAAATTGGAACGATACAGAGAAGGGTAGATTAGCATGGCCCCTGCGAAAGGACGACACGTATAAATTGAGAAATGGTCCCAAAAAAAAAAAAAAAAAAAAAAAAAAGCAAGGAGTTCCAAGAACATAATATAATGGGCCCAAAAAAAAAGAAAGGAAATAGACAAAAAAAGCAAAAACATAGAAGACCCACCCGCAAGGGATGTAGAAAGATAAATTTTCAAGGCAACATCCAATGCATCCAATTGTTTTGGATAATGTATCTGGACAGGTTCTTTGTCCAGATACATTTCGAGCGATTGGTACATCAAGCCCTCAAGAAAGATGGTGTGCGAGATAGGGGAAGGGAAAGGTGAAGAGAGGAAGTAAGAAATAGACAATGCATCCAACGGCTTTGGTCTTCGGATGACGTATCTGGACCAGAATGTCATCCAGATACATTCCAAGCGCGGAAGAGAGACCCGGGAGAACGGCAAACGGAACCATGCAAACATGCGCTTGGGGCATACTCAGACCACATACTCGAACCCACAGGGCATTTTTACTTGTTTCTGGACGGAATTGGGATCAGATACATCCAAGTACGGCCGTAATGACGGCCCTCAACATTTAGTATTGTGCTACCATCTTCACCCGAATAGAACGCCCTGTAATTATCGCCGTATCTGGGCTGAAAGTTGTGCCAAATACAGTTATTATGCTCGGGCGTGCTATGCGCGTGCAGACGGTAGTGTGAGAGAGAAGATCGATCACCTTTCGGAATGCCATGATTTCTTGTAGAGAGATAGAAAGAGAAATTTTCAGCGCCACATCCAACGCATCCGCCAGAGCTCTATCACCATAGAGCTCAAAAACTCCAAAATTAACGTAATTTCCGGCAAGAGCTGCATGCAATGTAAACGACACAACGCCAATCAACGTTCTATTATTAGATCGTCCGTTATCTCAGACAAAAATTCACAGCAACAGGGCCTCGCTGTGTGACACGCCACACGCACAAAAAGACAATACCGGTGTAGGAAACATATAAATCTGAGGTATATATCGAATATAGATACTAGATAGATATAATAGTGCAATCAGACTCGCTTTCATTCACACTCTCATGCATGCAAACAGGTGCGCAGCAAACTGGCGACAAGCGCCCACTCAGAACTCAGAGATATGGTAGCCGAGAACACAGATCAGATAGAAGTTCACTTCGATGGCTACGGCGACTCAGCGCCCAAACAACTCTCTGTTCGCATACACAGGATCACCCTGGATATCCCACACGCATTACTCTGAACACACCCACACACATACACTGCACTCTAACTACTGCTATGACGGCTATGGCCGTTTCTACCCTATCGCTATGGCTACGCTCCTCTCCCCACTTCGTCCTCGGGCTCACTGCAGACCACCTCGCACAAGTCGCTGTGGCAGCGCTTCCGCATGGCTCACGCAGGAATGAATGAATGACTGGGCGCTGCCTCTTGATTTATACTTCTGCAGCTCGTTGGTCTGGCCCTTTCCCATGCCCGTAGTGCACACAGTCCCATGCAGTACTTGCTTGACTGGACCAGGACTGACTGGGGACTGGGACTGNGGACTGGGACTGTTGACTCAGCACGGGTAGACTCCACCACTTGCCCACTTGCCTCACCACTTGCCCACTTGCCTCAGCCTAAACGTGGGCAACTTCGAAAGGCCACTACTGGGACCTTCCGGAAGGCCGTAGACTTGGCCTTTCGTTACTGTAGGAGCTACGACCTTGACCCTTCGAGACAGCTACAGCTACGACTGCTAGACCTGACTGGAACTCCTACTCGACAGGTCTACAGATCAAACCCCTACTACCTATGGACCCTACGACAACCTACCAGCTGTTACAAATACACAGGTCACGGGTTCAACTCTTGGGGTCGACACAGATACTGTACACAGGTAAGGTGGGGACTAGGGATCGAGCCCTGGGATCTGCATCAGCTACTGCGAACTGGTGAATACCGTTTCAATAATAAGCATAAGATAAATAAAGTTCAATAAACCTCATACAATAAATGGAAGAAGTAAGAGATGAACAATAATAGAAAAAAAATAAAGAAGAAAAAGAAAAATAGACATATCAGAGACACATATCGCACCGGTTACGCCAATCGCCCTACAGTGACTACATTTATCTAACGCTGGTGAGCCTCACAAGTTGCACTGCCTTTCCTGGCCAACTTATATCTGCACCCCAGAGAAACGGTCCGGCTGCTTGGGCTCAGCAGCTTTTTTTTTTTTTTTTTAATCCCTTCCGAACAACTTTTACTAGCAGGCGGCTGAAGGCCACGTTATCCTTTTGTAAGATACGCCGATGATTTCGTTGTTCTTCACAAGGCGCGAGGAGTCATCGTTAAGGCCACTCGACGGTTCAAATCCCAATGGCTAACACCCATGGGCCTGGAATTCCGTTCTGATAAAACGTACCGGGTCCAGAAAGCGCCCAAATGCATGTAGAGCGTTGTGTATCTTCGCATGATCTAGCAGGGGAGTCAGCGCTCCGCTACACAACACTCTACATGCATTTGGACGCTTTCTGGACCCGGTACGTTCGAACTGCTGAACTCGTCAGAAAAAATGCGCCTGATTCAAAGGGT